TTCACTACCACCATTCAGCCCACCATGGCGCACATTACGGCAACAGGTGCCTTCGCTGCTGGTGTCGTGATCGTCCTCTCGGCCACCAACTACTTCTTCTTTGCGTGGCCGGCCGCGCTTCTACTTGTGGCGCGCCTCGTCTGCCGCGCGCGCCCCGCCGTCCTTGTGCGTGTCTTCGACGCCTGGTACGACAGCGTGCAGCAGGCGTGGATGGGGCTCGTGACTATCGTGCTCGAGGGCGTGCTGCGGCTGCGCGTCGCATACACCATCGTGTCCCCGTCGAAGAAGGAGGATGGAAGGACGGAAACAGCGGCGGTGACAGCGCCTCGGCAGCTCGCGGACATTCTGGCGGCACCGCAACGCGGGAAGTTTAAGATCATTCTGCTCAATCACCGCTGTCGCGCGGATTGGCTTATGGTGTTTCCTTTCCTCGCACGCGCAAACGCCGCGCGGCAGGTCCGCATTGTACTGAAAGCGGAGCTGAACCGTTTCCCTATATTTGGCTGGTCGATGCAGCTGTTCCGCTATATGTTTCTCTCACGCAGATGGGACAAAGATGAGGAGATGATACAGCAGATGATTTCACACTACCATTTCAGTGGCGGCGCGACCATCATGCTGTTCCCGGAGGGAACCGACCTCTCCCCAAGCAATGTGGAGAGGTCGAACGCCTACGCGGCCAAGAACGGCTTGCCGCTGTTCCACCACGTACTGAATCCACGTTCAACAGGATTCTTGGCGATTAAGAATATGATTGGGGCGGAAAACATCGAAGAAATCATTGACATGACGTTGGGCTACACAGACTTTGTACCAGGGGAGCGTCCGACGGAGCTGTGTATCGTTAATGGCCGCATGCCGAAAAAGGTGCACATGTTATGCACGCGCCATCGCTTGGCAGGGAGCCGACAACACCAGGAAGAGAAGGACGCATTCCCCGCCGACGATGAGGGCCTGCGCGCATGGCTCAACGACCGCTTTGCCAAGAAGGAGGTGCTGCTCTCGCAGTTCTACTCCAACAATCCAGTGGGGTTCGAGGCACACCAAGTCCGTAGCGTCCTTGGTGAGGATTGCGATGTCGTCGCGTACGATGAAGACGAGGACGCCACACAGCACCCTGGCAGCACAAAACTCGCTCGGTTGGTGGCAGGCGTGGGGCTGTGGCGCGGCTTTGTTGGTGTGCTGGCCTTTTGGCTGGCGCCGGTACTCTACTGTGCGTTTTACGGCGGCTTGAGGTTGATTCTATGGTGCGTGCTGTGCAGCTTCACCTGCGCCTGGATAGCGCGAAAGAAAGAGAACCTCGCGGTGTGGCTCCTCCAGTTGCGGCGGGAAAAGACTGGAGGTAAGCAGGCTAAACAGGATTGATGAGTCGTGGTATTACCGATAAAAAGAGGTGCTTGCTTGCCGTCTGCCGATCAGGAGCAGGTGCTCTGGCCTCTTGCAAAAGTGGGTTTTTTTGTTGTTGTTCTGAGCTACACCACGGCCACCACTTCTTCCATATCTACTCACAAGCCCCCACACACATATATATAAATATATNATATATATATATATATATTTATTTATTTATTTATGTTTATATATACATATGCCATATGATACACTTTATTTCACTCTTTCTATCTTCATTCTTTGCTGTTGTTTTTGCGTGCGTAAATACCCACCAAACAAATGCACGCGCACCTGTAGTAGGAGAAGTGATCCCCCATAGAGGAACGAACACACACTCACACTCACACCCACGCCCCCCACACACGAACACACACTCACTCACACACACGCGACGTGATGCCCGCCGCCACTCATTACGTGCCGCACTCAGAGCAGACAAAGGCGCACTATGAGCGATTTCTGCGGGACCTGCGACGCTGGCTGCCGCCCGGCCTCGACGATGCAGTGGGTGAAATAGCAGAGGAGACACTCTCTATTGTCTGCCGAGCGAGCACTGGTGGCACAGCGGCAGGCCCGGCACAATTGCAGCAGGTGCGCAAGCAGCTGGAGGTGCTGCTCGACGCCCAGCTGAGCGCGGAGGCGCTACACGAGGTGCTGCTGTACGGCCGCCTGATTGACGACTTCGTGGTGAGCGACGAAGCGGAGGAGACACACCGTGGGGGTGATACCGGCGCTGGAGTGGGCGACGGTCTTGGTGACTTGCTAATGCTGCAGGAAGAAGATGGGGCGGCGTCGAGCTCGGATGACGAGGGGAGCGGCAACGTCAAGAACACTACGGGAGTTGCACGTGACAACAGGAGGGATCTTATGAAGTTTGCGGCCGATATTGAAGGTATCGCCGAAGACGATGAGGACGATGATGGCGATAATGACAACAACAACGACCATAACAATAATGGACGTGCGGCGCGTGTCACATTTGAGGAGGTGGCGTGCAACTCCAACTACGTGCGTGACTCGCTACGCCGACTGTTCCCCACGCAGAGCGTCGAGGAGTGTGATGTGCAGGCGGCGCGCGTGCTACAGTACGCGGCGCAGCGGCAGGTCGACCAGCTGACACTCGAGACACAACTCACGGCGTTCCTCGGCTGCTACGATGACGAAGCAGCAATGGATTGGATCGGTTCCGTTGCCGCGTCGCGGTGGGCGATTGTGTATGGCCTGCAGTTCTCCGAGGGGCGTAATCAGCAGGAGAAAAACGCTGTCATGGATGCCATGAAGGCACACGCACTGCAGGACCGTGTGGTGGAGCGGCTATACCAGAGCGTCACAGGTAAGGAAGTGGGCCCCAAAACGGGTGCGAGCAGCGCCAGCAACAACGACAACAACAATGGTGACAGTGGAAATGACGCTATGAAGCCACTTCGACGCGTTGACCTACAGGCGTATGCGTTTAAAGACGAACGTACACCTCACCAGCACACACGTGCGGTAGTGCCCCAGGGGACACAGCGTGCTGTGTTTGAAACCCATGACGAGGTCATACTTCCCCCAACGGCTTCTGTTACGGGAGACAATGCCTGTACGTCTGTAGACGCCTTTCCCGAGTGGGCACGTGCGGCATTCCCCGGCATCACACACCTAAATGTGATGCAGTCCAAAACTTTCGACTGCGCCTTCCACAGCGATGAGAACATGTTGGTGTGTGCGCCTACTGGAGCTGGTAAAACAAACGTTGCAATGATGACGATGCTGCGGGCTATCGCTAACGCCACCACGCGAGGCGGGGGTGTGAACCTGCGTGAGCTGAAGATGGTGTACGTGGCGCCCATGAAGGCCCTGGTGCAGGAGGTGGTACGCACTTTTTCCAAGCGTTTGGAACCTCTTGGCCTCACCGTCGTGGAGCTCTCCGGTGACACAAACGTGAACCAGGCACAGCTAGGCGAGGCGCAGCTTATTGTCACGACACCGGAGAAGTGGGACGTGGTAACACGCAAGTCTGTGGAGCTCGGTGTGGCATCGTTGCTGAAGCTTCTTATTCTTGATGAGGTTCATTTGCTGCATAACGAGCGTGGGCCCGTTCTGGAGGCAATTGTCGCCAGGACGATGTTGCAGCAGCAGCTGCGTGGCGAGGCGGAGATTCGTATCGTAGGACTCAGTGCCACGCTGCCAAACCACATGGACGTCGCGAGCTTTCTGCAAGTGGACCGGCAGCGGGGGCTGTTCGTCTTTGATAGCACATTCCGCCCGATCCCGCTGCAGCAGTCGTTTTGTGCCATCAAGAAAATGCGTGGGACGAACCAGGTTGCCGTGATGAACCTCGTGACGTATGATAAAGTGCTGCAGGCAGCAATGAACGGCGAGCAGTCGATGGTGTTTGTGCACTCCCGCAAGGATACGGAGTACACCGCGACCTACATGATGCGACGCATCATTGAGGACAAGCGTGCGCATTATTTTGTGCGCCCCGGGAGTGAATCTGAGCAGGTGCTGCGCGAGGCGGTGAATAACCCCTCGCACGCCATGCGGCCAAGCCTCCAGCAGCTTCTGCCGATGGGCTTTGCCGTGCACCACGCAGGCATGAGTCGTGACGAGCGACATGTCGTCGAGTCCCTCTTTGCGGCGCGGCATGTGCGAGTGCTGGTGTGTACCTCTACCCTCGCGTGGGGCGTTAACCTACCGGCGAATCAGGTCGTTATTAAAGGCACGCGTGTCTTCAACGGCGCGAAGGGTGAAACAGAACTGCTGAGCGCACTCGATGTGCTACAGATGTTCGGCCGTGCAGGACGTGTGGGGTTCGGCTCCACACTCGGCAAAGCCGCCGTTATCACGAGTGCCGACGACCTCCAGTACTACCTGGCTGTGCTGAACAACCAGCTTCCCATCGAGTCACAGATGATGAAGCGGCTTGTGGACATGTTCAACGCGGAGGTGGTGCTCGGCCATGTGGAGAGCATCGCGGAAGGTGTGCGGTGGCTGCAGCGCACGTACCTGTACGTCCGGATGCGGCGGGCGCCGGAAATTTACGGCACACGCGCTACCGAGTCCGACCCGCTCTTCTTGCGGCACTTGGAGAACATTGTTCACACCGCCGCCGATGACCTTCGCCGCTGCCAGATGGTGGAGTACGACGCACACGCACGGCGGATTGCCCCCACACCGTACGGCCGCATCGCATCCTTCTACTACGTCACGGCAGCTTCGATGGCCACGTACCTCGCACACCTCTCCAGCACCATGCACGATGTGGATTTGTTTCGTCTCTTCGCCATGTCGAAGGAGTTTTCACACATTGCAGTACGACCAGAGGAGCAAGCGCAGCTGCAGTACCTTCTAGAAAATGCCCCCATTGCCGTTCGCGAGAGTCGTTACACCCCACTGGCGAAAATCAACGTGCTGCTGCAGTGCTACATCAGTGACATGAGCTTACAGGGACTACCATTAATGAGTGAGCTCGTGTACGTAAAGGACTCAGCGCAGCGTATACTGCGGGCTCTTCACGAGATATGCGTGGTACGTGAATACGGCCGCACTGCGATGCAGGTGCTCCAGCTCTGCCTGATGGTCGTGCACCAGCAGTGGGCAGTGCAATCGCCTGTGAGGCAGTTGCGTCACACCGTCGCCCCCAAGACTTTTGCTGCCTTTATTCAGGCGCTGGAGAGTCGCCGTGTCGCATGGGAGGAAGTGCGTGAGTGGTCCCTGGAGGACCTCGCAGAGAAGCTCGGTGATGAGAGACGCGCGGAGTTAGCGCATGACTGCATTCGGCAGGTACCACACTTCACGTTGGAGGCCGCCGTGCGGCCGTTAACTCGAAGTATGATGTACGTTGATGTTGACATCACGCCAGACTTCACGTACAACGAGGTGGTGCACAACCGCACCGCCGGTGAGTTGCTGCTGACTGTGGAACACACCAATGGCCGCATTCTCCATCACGAGCGGCTCTTCTTTTCGTCGGCGGGTCTGCGCAGTGGCGAGACGCTTTCCGCACCCACTATTGTGGTGCCTATTGTCGAACCAAAACCAACGCATTACTTTGTGCGGTGCCAGTCAATGCATTGGCTTGGTGCCGAGTGCGCTGTCGCGGTGTGCTTGATGGACGTGCGACTACCAGATATCGCCCCGCCGCTGCTGGAGCTTCACCAGCGCCCGCCATCCACCGAGGATGAGTCAGCGTATGATGTATCTGCGACGCTGCAACAGTATGGCCTAGAGTCTGCTGCGGCGAAGGTGTTCCCCTTCACCGAGTTCTTCCCCACGCAACACGACCTCGTCACGCCTATCATGGCGCACCCCGAGGAGAATATCTTCGCCGCGCTGCCACCCGGCGGTGGCCGGACGGCGATCGCGGAGTTGTTTATTCTGCAATTCCTCCTGGAGGGTGCACTGCTGCAGCAGCAGCAGCAGGCACATGACGTTACTGTTCCTGTCACCGCTCCTGCTGCTGAAGAGGACGAAGGGGCCGAGGCGGTGGTCCCTGTCGTGGAGCGGAAGCTTTTGTATGTAACGGCGCACGAGGCCTGCGCGACGCGCCGATTTCACGACTGGCGTTTCAAGTTCGGCGAAGGCCTACAGCAGCGGGTGGTGAAGCTGGATCCCTTTGGCGAAGATCTTGCGACCAAGATGGCGAAGGTGCAACAGGCCACCATCATTATCGCGAGCGGCAGCAGCCTGGCCCCGTTGGTCCGCCGCGGTGCCACAGACTGTCTCGCTGGTGTCACGCACATAATCGTCGATCACGTGCACCTCATCCGTGCACCAGAGGGACGATGGATGGAGGAGTGCATTGCGCGGCTTCTGTCCAAGCCGTATGTGGTGAACAATGGACGACGTCCGGCGCGTCTTCTCGCCCTCTCATACCCGCTTATCAGCTGTACGGAGGTGTCGCGGTGGATGAAGATCCCTGCCGCACGGCAGTACAACTATGGCAAATCGTACCGGCAGCTGCGCGTGCGGCTGGAGGCGGTCAAGCATGCCGGCGCCCGCAGCCGCTATGAAGCGGCGGCGGTGTCAACGCTGAAGCTGCTGCAACAGGACCGCTATGCGGCAACACCCAACGTGGTGTTCGTACCAACCGCCCGTGACGCAGAGGATCTCACCAAGCGCATCCTTCTGCGCTGCCGCGACTTTGTCCCCAGCACGAGCTGCGACGATATGGAGGACCGCGGCCTCGCTCTGCTGCTGTCGACCGGCGTGGCGTACATGCACCGTGGTACAAGCCTCCTTGATGAGCTGATCATCATGGAGCATGTGGAGAAGCCAGCACGGCACCCCGACACAGACGCAGCACTTCCGCTGGTGCTTGTCTGCACGTTTGAGTCGGCGTGGCGTCTTCCTGCTGCACTCTTTGGCACCGCCTTCGTCTGCGCCGCGGAGCGTGTCGGCGTCCGCAGCGAGGAGGACGGTGCGTCTGCCGCCGACTGCTCTGTCGCAGAGTTGCTACAAATGACGTCGCGCGCCCTCAACGAGGCGGTGGTGCACTGCCGCGCGGCCCGGCGCTGGGTGTGGGCCCGTCTGCTCAACGACCCGCTCCCGCTCGAGTCGCACCTGCGCTACCCCGACGACTTCCGCGACGCCCTCAACGCCGCCATCGCACAGGGACGTGCGAGCGACATGCCAGGCGCGCTGCGCATCCTGCAGAGCCACTACTTCCTTTTCCACCTGCGCACCAACCTGCACTTCTATGGCGTGCCGTCGAAGGACGACATCCCGGCGTACGCGTCGGAGTTCGCGCGCACTGTGATTGCCTCCCTGCAGGCGGCCGGCTGCGTCGCGGTGACGGAGGGCAATGACGCTGAGGCCGTCACGCTACGGCCGACGCCACGCGGTATCGCTGCAGCGCACCACGGCATCAGCCTCGAGTCGCTTGAGGCTGTTTCGGAGGCAGCGAGAAGTGGCCGCACCGCAACGGTTGCAGACATGTGGCACCTGGTTGCATCGCGCTGCGTCGAGTTGACGCCACAGTACATGGGCGACGCCGCACATATCGCTGACAATGCAGAGCTGCGGGCGCTACAGACAATCGCCCGCGCGTTTCCTCACGGTTACGAGGTGCGCTACATTGACCTGGACTTCAGCAAAGGCTGGACAAAGGTCCAGCTGCTCATTCTGGCTCACTGCGCACGCATGTTCATTGGCCCCGCAGATCACATGTGGCACAAGGATGAAAATAAAAATTCAACTTCAGCCCACCCTTTGGCTTCAACATCGACAGCAGCTGTCGATCCGCAGCTGCTGCTGGACATACCCCACGCTGTGGCAGAACGGCTACGGGAGGACCTCCACGTGCTGCTTCCGGCCGTGCTGGAGGTGGTCCGTGGCGCATGCGAGATGTTTGACAGCAGGACACAGTGGCGGCATGCGCGCTACTTGATGCGCCTCGCGTCTCAAATCGAACGACGCGTGTGGGGGTTCGAAGATCCGTGTCTGCAGCTCCCATGTGTGCAGGAGACGGTAGCACTGCAACATCTGCTGACCGCGACCGACGGGCCATGGTCGCTTGAGCGGCTTCAGGAATTGTCCACCCAAGGAGCCGAGGCGGAGGCGGTGTGGGCGAAGTTGTCGCATGCGTTGGTGCAACACGCCGCGGTGCCGCGGGCAGCAGCGGCGGAGGCGCTCGTGCACCGACTGCGCGTGGAGGCCGCCGCGCTGCCCCGCGTCACGTTGCTGAAGGCGAGTGGGGCAGTCGAGCTGGTGGAAGGCGTGCATACCTTTGTTATACGCGTGGATGGCCGCATTACATGCCAACTGCCGCCGACATCATCATCGTCGCTGAAGGGTGAGGCGGCGGCCTGCAGCGGCAACTCGCTGGGCCCGTGGTGGGTGTCGTGCGTGGTGCGCCACAACGGGCGGACGGACGTGCCGGAGCGGCTCATGGCGCTCTGCGTCACGACGCCAGAGAATATGGCCAACAACAGTGCCAATGATGAGGAGGGGAATGAGCAGGAAGAGGCAGGGCCAACGTCGTCGCTGTGGCGCATCACCGGGTCGGTCTCGTTCCCTCTGCACGACGTGGACGGCGAGGACCTGGAGACGCTGACGATGACAGCGACTGTTGTAGCTGCGCGTTACCGCGCCGACGCGGAGGTGGACGTCGTGTTCGCCACAGAGTGAGCTGGCACGATAGAGAATCAGAAGCAGCAGCTGGAGTGGGGTGAGGGCAGAGGAGTAATGGAGGAGGGATAGCTTGACGACAAAGTATGAAAATGGAGGTGAAAGAAAAAAAAAACGCCAATGCCACAACAAGGTATATGATTTGTTGCATACTGTGCATTTGTGTGCGTGTGTGTGTTTGCGTGCTGTTGGCATACGGGGGCTATCATGACGGTGGGTGTCTTTGTGTGTACTGAAGTGCAACCAACACGCATACACACTGCGATGGAGAGAATGAGTAAGGTCACCGAAGGACGATTGGTGAAATAACAATGAAAGCATAAGAGAATTCTTTCAGCCTTCCTCTTCCCCGGCTCCTTGCGGCATAGTTATGCCGCCACCGCCGCCACTTTATTCCATGTACTTGCTCTGCAAACCTACACCTGCCTTTACTTTATGTATTTATGTGTTTCGCTTAACCTTGCTTTCTACTCGGCACAACCCATCGAACAACAATAAGAAGATCAACAAGAAAGTATACGCTTCTCTCCTCCGCCAGAAAGCGTTAGAGGTAGGGTGAGGAGTAGCAACACTAGCAGCCGCGCACCGCCTTAACAGCATAGGCTTTGCATCTGGACCCAGGCGGGGTTAGTCTATTCAGTGCGGAACGCTCTAAGTGAGACGACCTCAGAGCGTGTGGAGCCCGTGTCGTGTGAATCAGTTCGTCGCTCGCGCCACACATCATCGCAAACACATGCCGAATTCGCACCGGGAGCGTCCGCGGAATGGGCTTGCAGCAACCCACGGCGTCATACCACACACACACCAACAGCAACAGCAACCGCAAGCACACATTCGCTCGGCGAACTCATCGGCGTCGTCGCTGAGTGAAACAGATGGCGACGGAGCGGTACTGCCGCCCATCTCACCGTCGGCGCAAAAGGCACTGCATCGTGCCACGACACGTCTGCGTGGAAGTTCCACGCGACAGCAACATCCGCAGCAGCAACAGCAGCAGCAGCAAAATGACGGTAACGGGGCAAGTTGCCCAGTGCTGCCGCACGCCAGAGGGGCTGAGACCTCCCCGTCCAACGACGGCGACAACACAGAGTACATAGTCATCAGCGCCAAGGAGATTTTGCGTCTGGGCAGCACCTTCGGCGTCCCCCCAGCGCACGTGCAGGAGGTTGCCGTCGCGTCGGAGGGAGACCGCGAGCTCATGATCGCCATCCTGCAGAGCGAGTTGGAGGAGCGTGAGCAGCGTGGTGAACACACGCAGTGCTCTGCGCGGCGGTCCCGCAGCGGGAGTCTTGCCGCGTGGGCGTCACGACCGCGGCTGCTGTTCGGCTCCCGCCACACTGTAAAGCGGCTTATGATGTTCTTAGAGCTGCCACCGTCGTGGGAGGGTGATGTCATCCAGGCCCTCAACGAAGCGAAGGGCGATGCACAGGTTGCGGCGTCTGCACTCCTGCTGAAGATTGAGCAGGCAAACGGTACACCATCCCAACGACTCCCCCGCAATGGTGAAAGCATGTCGGAGCAGCAGTTCCAGGAGCTGCAGAACTACATCAGCCGCCTCAACACGCCGCTTGAGTTCACCAAGGCACAGGCACTCCGCAGCGAGTTTCCACAGCGGTCAATGCATGACATTGAGGACGCGCTCGTGCTGACCGACGGCGACTTGAATCAGGCTCGTCTGTATCTGGAACAGGTCCCCACGCAGAAAGAGTCTCGCCAGTCCCTCGAGCAGATTATCGCCGCCCCAGGCACGAGAAACTTTCCATGGAACGATCGGCGTAAGGCGACGCGTCGCTGCTCCACCGTCAGCATCACCCAGCCTCAGGAGGGTAACACGGTCCACCCCAGTCCGATGCGGTCGGCAAGCGTNGGCCAGCCGAACGAGGCGGCACCGCTGGTACTTGTCACGGCGCCCATCCCGTCTCCCCCTGGTGGCGCGAAGGGCGCGGCGCCGGCCGGCCGCCACTTGCATAGTCACACAACGTTAGAGACGGGCACCACGCTTGAGGTCTTCTCGCCGATACCCGCACCACCGATTCTTGAGTCTCCGCATGGAGGGAAGAGGATGCCACATGGGCTGCATGAGTCATCCGGACATTCAACCACAGCAAGCAAGCCTTCGACGCCACCAAACACGATTGGCAAACTACCGAGGCGCGGCAGCGTGGCCGCGCTGAACAATCCTCACGATGAGGATGATGATGGCCCATTGTCGCCACACTGCGTCGCCGCGCTTCAGTCTGCACTGAACGGGAGGGACCAAATTGTCGCGTTTGGGGAACTGACAGCGCCTAATTCTAGAGATTCCGCATCACCGCAGCCATCACCACCTTCAGGTACGTCAAAGGCCGAATCACCCGAGCGTCCAGCGGCATTATTACTGAAAGGTATTGCGGCGGCGAACTCTGGTCTATCCGCACCCGTTGGGTCGTTACCACCGCCAGGAGGCAAAGATGCGTCACCACCACCACCGCCACCACCGCCAGGAGGCAAAGATGCGTCACCACCACCACC